CTCTGCTCCTGCCTCTCCACCTCCCCGGGGAAGCCCATGCCCACCACGCAGAGCTTCGCCCTGGACCCCAAATATGCCACCCCCAAGGTGATCCAGGCGCAGGGCAAGGACTGCTCCAAGGGCCCCTGCATCCTGCCCATCGTGAAGGATGGGCAGAAGGTCAGCAGCACCCACTACTACCTGCTGCCCGAGCGCCCTGCCTACCTGGACAAGTACGAGAAGTTTTTTAAGGAGGCCAAAAGCCCTGAGGAGGCGCTCACGTCCCGCCCGGTCACGACAGCCACCGTCCGTCCCATGGTGCAGCAGCTGCCGCCGCCAGACTGCAAGGCCAACTTCTCCTCCAACAACAGCAACCTTGGGCCCAAGTGCCTGGTGAAGGCCTCCTGCAGCCTCCAGAAGATCGTCTACGATGGACCGGATGGCTCACCGACAAGATCCGGCTGGTGAGTGGCATTCCAGGCATCCGCGGGCAAAAGGGTGGCCATGGGCTAGCTTGGGCGAGAGCCATCTGTGCCCTGTGCCTCAGTTTCCCCAAGTTCAACCCTGGGGGGCTGGCTGCAAGGGGTCTCCAGATGTGCTTTGGGGCATAAGTGTTACTGCAGCTCCAAAATGGGGATTGCAGGCCCTTTTAAACCAAATTAGCTCTAGGGGAGTGGGGAGGAAGGTGGCTGTCACTGCTGTCCCCCGGGCTCTCTGGGCTGGGTCCAGGAGTCCACCTGAGCCCAGGAGAGGCTGAAGATCCCAGGGATGGGGATGGTCACAGCTCATTTGGTGGCAGCCACAGCGCCCCCCCTGCTCCAGCCTCGTTGCCCTGGGAAGGTGGCGGGCGCTGACCACCAGCTCCCCCCAGGTGCAGGACACGGTGCACGGTGTGACCACCGAGGAGTGCCAGACAGCCCTGCAGAACCACGGCTGGAGCATTCAACGGGCCGTCCAGTACCTGAAGGTACTGCACACCCCTGTCCCCCTGTCCCAGCTTTCACAAAGGTGGTAGCACCCTGTCACACCCCCTCACCGTGCCCTGTCCCCTTGCAGGTGGAGCAGCTTTTCTGCCTGGGGCTGAAGTCCCGCATCGAGTGCCAGCGGGTGCTGGAGATGTTCGACTGGAACCAAAACCTCCTCGATCCCTACAGCACTGCCCGCCAGAAGTAAGGGGCATGGGTGTAATTTTTGGGTGGGGGTCTCCGTGCCATGCTGCTCTTGGCTGGCTGACACTGTCACCACTCCTGAGCTCATGTCCTCTCCTCTCATTACAGGCGGTGACAGCAAGGATGGGGCAAGCATCGGATCTGGAGCAGGCGTCTGGCCATGGGACACCCCTTCAGTGCACCTCTGCACCCACACAACCTGCTGCTGGACCCTGGACTGAGCCCCTGCTTGGGAAATGGGGACACCCCAAAAGGGAGCCTGCCCAGTGCCCTGCCTGCGCCCTGGCTTCGGCAATGGGCTCCGTCCCCTGGCCCCTTGTTGAGTTGTTTTTTTGTAAAGAGAAATGTAAT